ATAATTCTCCAACGTTTTCCTCCATTGCCATCGTTTGTTTCTTTCATGGAAGCTTTCGTTTTAGTATCATGGCTGTCAAAGTTTTGTTTTATCTCCATACATTTGTACAACAATCATGCCGAGCTTTGTATAAAGTCAATTTTTTGTGAACATTATAAATATCAAGTGACGTCATCATCAAAATATGTGAAAATTAAGTACACAAAATCCAACATAAAGTAACAAGTTTACCGGTTAATAATGTTTTGATTTTCCTCAGGGTTGGGAAGAAGGAATTTCTCAGACCACTAAAAAGAGTTTGGATAGACGGCAGGTCTTTGTTTTCAATTTTCCATTGGACATTACTTTCAAAAGTACAAGTCCTTATGGATGTAAGTTGATAATAGAGCAATGAGGCTAAATTTTTTCATTTGTTTTTTGTTTTTGTTTTTTTTTTTTTGCTTTCATGCATAGACTTAACAGGCAACTTGTTCCTAATAAATTATACATGAGTGGGTATGAAAAATGTGTACAGTGTAACTCTTATAACTCAATATTCAAAATATTTTTCATTGATATTATTTCATGTGGTATTTGTTGTTTCATCATTCCTTTCTTTCAGGGCCTCAACTAGTGGTGAGTTGCTATGGCTTGGATGCTTTCGGTCATGACGTAGTGCGAGGATATGGAGCTGTACATGTTCCTATCTCTCCAGGAAGGTAGAAGTTGAGCTAAGTTGATATGTTCAAATAAACTTTTCATCTTGGGGAATCTTTATCACAAAAAGCAGTGCCAATCTGCTTGTAAAAGAGTATTGAAAATTCAAAAGTAGGAGCTAGTGACTAATTTCTCATTTAAAAAATACAGTCATAAATCTAGGATGCTTCATTGACAGTGTTTGTTTGCCCCATTTACAGCCACACAAGAGAGATGCCAATGTTTGTTCCTGAGTCATCATCAAAATTTCAAAAGTTTACAAGGTGAGCTTTTCGTTTTTTGCTCTTGGACAATCATCAAACTTAAAAAATAAAAAATCTCCCTAGCTTCACTTCACCCAGGTGTGACGCTAGGAAGTCTTTTTTTATGAAAAGCTGTCACTCTTAGACAGTTTAACCCTTTTTTCTGGCAACCAACTAGATTTTAACTGAAGCATCAACCTTATCCCCAAGGTGCTTTTCCCACTCTCAAAGAGAAAAAGTGCCTTTGGGATGAAGCAGGGGTTTCATTAAGGGCCAGGCACCAGGCCAATGTACCAGCTGTGATGATGATTTTGCCCGCTAGGTTTGACCCAGTAGAGGAAAGTTTTTCTTATAAAGAAGTGCAGTTCAAAAAGTTTTGCCCGCCTGAGAAAACCAGTTGCCCTCTTTCTGAAAACGTTACTGAAATTCCTATACTGTGGCAATGAGAGCATTATTTTACAAAATTGTGTAGTTCCAGAAAATATGCATACCTCCCTCATGGAAGGGTTTTCTCTAAGACCCTTCCCCCACCCCTCTGGAAATTCCAATAATGTCATAAATAAGCTTCATACATTTCTTTAAATTTTTCTGTCTTACAGAACCTGCCCACACCCCTAGGAAATTCCAATCCCTTCTTGGGGAGTATGGATATTTTCTGGAACAGCACATTTTGTTTGGTTCCCCAAAATACCATACCTACCTTGTGGAATTGAAGATCATTGGAAATTCAGAGGGGGTGGAGGTCTTCAAAGACAAAGTTTTTAAAGAAAATTTATTGTTAAGTTTAACTGGAATTTCCTGAGGGTTGGTTACTTCCTCTTCCTTATGTAGGGGGTAGATATTTTCTGAAACAACCGCCTGAACTATTGGACGAAGCATCATGCAGTTCACCACTCCACGTGAGATCATTGGAAATTCAAACCTGGAGTGGATATTCAAAATCCAAATTTTTAAAAGAAAGTATGAAGCTAAAACAAGAATTTTGGGAAGATTGGAGGGGGCTCAAACCAAACATCTTCCGTGGGAGGGGTACAGCGCGGGTTGGGAGGGGTATGGATATTTTCTTAAACAACGCATTATATATTTTTTTTTAATTATTTTTCAGTTGGTTCCTTGGTAGAAGACCTGAGTTTGTGGACCCAAAAGTTGTAGCACAAGGTGAAGGAAGAGAAGTGACAAGAGTAAGATCACAAGGAAGTGTGAAAGTGACATTCAGCGTAGTGACTCGTGATATGAAGAAACTTGGTTATGACACAGAACCTGCCAGTGTTGCTATTTCGCATCTAGCTCCTGGGAACAGTGGAATCACCACAATAAGACCAGAATCTCAGATGCATAGTGCAGAAAGCCATTCATAGTTATCTACAAACACATTGTAAACATCCAAAGACCTGGGTGGGAACAAAGTGGTTACCCTAAAGTACCGGTACATATAAAAGGAGATCTGGTGTAAAAGGATGGTAGCCCCAATATTGTTTGCAATGTGTTGACATTTTTTGCTGATTATCTCTAATTTCACTGGGAAAAAAGCATTTTGAGTCTCCTGTGATCTGGTTAGATACTCAGAATTGTATTCATACATTTGTTTCAAGTGGGGGAGAAGTGTTGTGTGACGACCCTGAAAACAGCTGCGAAGGAGACTAGTTTTTCCTCAACTTGTTTTAAATTACAAAAATCGTGTTCTTTGATGGCAGAATGATTTGAAGTTGTCACTTCCACTGTCAAAATACAAGACAAAATCTGATAGACAATCGAGCAATTTCAGTTTTTAGTGGACAAAAATCAGGTACCAGAATAACTTTAAGTATTTTGCAGTCCTTTTTGCATTTTTTATGTAAATATTTGCCTGAAATAACCCTGAAAATGATTTCCCAGGGGAACGCAAGAAAATAAATTTCAAAGTTCAGAGAAATTGTACTAACACAGGTAAAATTTCATAATCAGTTTCATTTTACCAGTACTTCTAAGTGTTTCATACGAAGATCAAAATTTGTTTTCGACATTTGGTATTGTTAGAAATGTTTTTCTTTTTTTTGAGAAGACATTTAAAACAGTCATACAGAAGTTTGCAATATGGTGTAAATAATCTTGGTACAAAGTTTTTGTCCACTTGTTACTCAAACTTCTGGTGTACAGTATTCTGTCACAAATCTTTCAACTTTGCTGACAAATTGACACCACAAACATTAGTCAGAAGACCTAACACTGTTTTCTTTCAGTGTCAAATATGTAAAAAGCTTTTAGTCTTGTAAAAAAGAACAGTATAAACAGAGTAGAAAAAAAAGTTTATTTAATGCAAGTACTATTTGTCATGCCATTTTTATTTTTAATCCTAAATAATGCTCTATTTGTAACTTATAATTATGTAAATTGACTTCACATTTGTACCAAAAAGTAACTTATGATGTCAATGCATGTCAACATAATAAAATGATGGTTAAAGTGTATTAAATAAAATTTGAAAAAAGCAACATAAAAAGATGGATACTTGGTTGTTTTAGTGCTCCTGAAGTTTGTTTTTTTCCTTAGGAATCTCAGTGTGATTTTCACTTGTGTGGAATAAAAATGCGAGCTTGCTCTCTGGCTAATCTGTTGCATTGGAGCTGAACAATAAACCATTTGCAGGATTCTTCCTAGTGTGTCCACAGACATTTAGCTTTTTGCTACAAGTTATTTTTCTTCAAGAGTGCAGGTGAGGGGAGAATGCGAGAGCGAGCGTGGACCGGTTTTCGTCTTTTCCCAGGGGCAACCTGTTATGTTCAGGCTTTTTCAAATACCCTATTGTTAAGTTACAAGTTATTTTTCTTTGAGATGCGAGCACAAAGTGGTTTCTGTCTTTCCCCTGTTGTGTTTTGGCCGTTTCAAATCCCCTGTGGTTAATACTTTTGCTTCCTATCTCATTGAACTCAACACAAAACAGACAGACTAGATTCTTTCAGACAAGGACACACAAGTTGAAACTGATGTTGATCGTGATATTTTATTACTAAGGAACAACTGGGTGTGTACTGAGGGTTATATCAGCAGTTTTTCAATGGATTGCTGAAGTGACAGAATCTGGGGCTTGAGTTGTGAGCCTTCGTTGATGGTAACAGCAGTTGCAATGACAGGCCGGGACACTCCACATGCACGACCAAGAGCTTGCTTGGAACGAACAAATACATATGGTACGTTCTAAAAGGAAATAATGCAGATGCAATCGTGACTTTTACAAAGGTTTATTTGACCAATTCAAAGTAAGCCTAGCTACAGAGCAAAACAGGAAGGCCAGACTAGTTTGGGATCATATGCTATATTATTTTGGCAAAAATAAAAAAATTAATTTGAAGTCCATCTTCATCCAAGTTGACATGTATGTCATTAGTGTCCTATGCAGCCATTATTAGGGTCATCACACAACGCTTCTTGCAACACATCAGAGAAGCGTTGCGTGACAACCCTAATAACGGATGCGAAGGAGACTAGTGTGTCATCTATGTCTAAGAATTTGGAAAATGGCACATCAAATACTCGTAAAGCTAGAAACACAGTCTGTCATGTCAGCAGATGGTATTACAATTCTACAGCCACTCCTTGTGTAAACTGTACCTTGTACTTGAACCAAAATTACTTTCAACTATCTCTTTACCTTGTCTTCACACAAAAGAGGCAGGTGCAGTAATATTTCTAGTGGTTCTGTATCAGCTGCCATGACGATAAACTCAGCAATGCCACGGTTCAAGCATTTGGTGGCTGCAACAAATATGTGACATTTTCATTACCATAAAGTTTCAAAAGTAAGGACTCTCATTACTTCAACATCTAGAAAACTTTCAATATCGCTAACTTTGGAGGGTCACAACTATGAGAGGGTAGGGGAGAAAGTAGGGTAACTAAAATGTGTACCAGTTGTGGGCCAATCTATCTCAATAAAACAAAGATATTCTAATTATAGCAAGAGAAGAAAGGAATAAATGTTGCTGGAAAAATTCTATCAATCCAAACAGAAGGTCACTGCTTCAAAGGACAGTCATTACTAAGGAAACATTATTGCTATTTAGACTAAACCCAAACTGCAGGCAGTAAACTTGCAAACAGAAGCAGTTATTGGATCACTATGGTACCTTCATTGGCTCCCTTTCTGAGCTGCTTGTAGTTGGATGCTTGTTGAATGAGGTCAAGAATTGTCACAGTAAGTTGGGGATCAGCAAGTGGGAAGGCCTTTGGGTTAACGTCGTCACTTGCCTAAGACGCAAGATAAAAACACATGAACTTTGTACTTCACCATATATACTTCAATACCCCGCAATATGTACTATTAAAGGGTTTTTTTTCTTTTTTTTTTTTTCAGTGGGGTCAAAGTAAGGTAAAAACTATATTCCAGGTCAAAGTGGTCCGTAGAGCTTATCCCACCATCTGTAGCATGAAAAAGCCTGGAGTTTTACTATTTTTCCAGGATAGCATACTTGTCCATTATGGGTCTTCCCCCCACCCCCCAAAGAATTCAGTCAGATTGCCCTTACATTTCCTAACATCACTGAAACCCATCTACACTCCTGTGGGGTGTGAGTTACTATGAGCCAACACTAAACCTAGCGACCAGCACCCATGCCTCCTTCCACCTCCTCCACAGTGGTACACACCATTCTATTTTTCTTCATGAAGGCCAAGCTGACCCTATGGTTTGTGAATCCCTGATTGCAAGGGCATGACTTGGCTCTCGTGTCCTTGTTATGTGTCCACCGGCAACACACTGAAGTATTTCGTGCAGCAAAATAACTGTGTCCTAAATTCCATGCAACAAACCAAAATTTTATTGTATGGGTTGCAGAAGAAGCACTTGTTAGATTTATCACCCTGTCCCCCTCCCCCTGTGATGACAAATTCTGTGTCCACACAGCTTTCACAGTGCCCTCCGATAGTTTTTGATTTCATGTAACTCTATCAAAGTTTCCCCCATGCATCTTCTTGAGTAATCCAACAAATGAAAGGGAAAGTTTTCCCTAGTTTGGCTTTGCCAGGGACTTCTTCCGTTATCAAAGGGTACTCAGGGGTGTGAAGATTTCATAACCGTATTCAAGCTTAAAAACAAATTAATTAGCTTAATCGATAAAAAGACCTCTCAAGAGCAAGTATTTTAATTTAGTGCCACAGAAAACTTGTGTTTGATGCGCAAAGTCCTCTATTCCCATTCTTTATTCTCATGCTTTGTTCGGATTTCGTACATGTTTTGTCAATCTGTGGGTAGTGTTGAAAACGAAGAAGATTGGTGGACACTCGAGTAGCTGTAGTGAAGAACTTAACCAAAGGATTCCTATGTTTCGTGCGTGCAAAGTGCAACTGAATACACACTAAGATAAAAATCTTCACGTCTTACCATGTTAATCTGCTGGTTTTAGGTCCTCTCGGCAGAGTCTAGCTTCACTGAGGACAGAAAATACTGACTACACTTGAACGGAACTGAACGTCCTGCTAGCTCGCACGTGTGAGAGACGCTGAAAGGATGCACGCATGGAATGACGGGAAGTAAACCTCCGCGAAGATGTCACGCAGCCGAGGGTCTGGGTCACGCAACAAACAAAAATGGTCAACGGGCTGTCCCGCATTGGGTAGCTGTCACTCATAGGCATCGTAGGTGTAAAGAATACTTTTAGTTACCTTTTCCTTTGGGGCCTCATCGAGATGCACCCTTTTTAACATGCAAATCCCATTGACGGTTTTTCTTTACATTTTGAGTTGGGTTGAAGGAGTCCAAGAGCAATGAAAGTTCTGTCACGTCAAGGACAGCCAATGAAAAAGTACATCCAAAGGAACAGTCTATGACCCTCAACCTTCGGTTATTTCCTACTTCAAAAGCTAAGTCAAACCCTCTCGCACTGAAGTGATTCCTCGACATCCTTAGCAACCCTTAGCGTTCCCATGCCATCCTCCTGGTAGTGCGAAATCACAGGACAACGGTTTCCCATCTCGTCCCGAGTGAACTGCAGGTGTGGGAATTACTAAAATATGTGGTGTATGGGACACTCGAATAACGCACGGGAGCGCTTGCTACTTAGGCTACTACACCCTCCCCAAAAGGATACGGGACCTGAACCATTCTGTTCCATTTAGGNCGGGAGGGGACTCCCACATAAAAAGGACCGGGGTGTTCGTCGAAAATGTTGTAAAGAACCTCCAAGAAGTACCAAGACCCTGTTTTGTGGGCATGGCCTGAAAATGTTTACACCCCTAGAGGTACCAATTCTCAAAAAAAAAAAGCATTTTTTTCGGCTCAATACCCTTAAAACGTACCGCAAAAGCTTCCGCTGTGGCCCCTTCGAGGCTGAACATCCTAAGGGGTATTAAACCGCCTTTTTAACCCCTAAAAGGTACGACGAACATCCCCGTTCTTTTAATATAGGAGTCCCCCCCGCCCCCAGCCCCGTAACGTGGGAACCAAAAGTACTGAACAGTTAGGCCTGATTACAGGGTTCCTGTATCTTCCTGCTGGAGTTCTCATTTCCTTTCCTTTTTTTTCGTCCTAGAAAGGAAACTGGTGTTTGTACACAAGTGAAAGAGTGCTCACTGAGTGTAGTTGTTCTTGCTCTCCTTCAAGATATCAATTGAAACACCACACAACTACTTCAACAAAAGTTTAATTCTAATCACCATACATTGGCAGCTTATAAAATAGAAATTATCAGTAACTTTACGACGTTTATCTCAGACCATACAAGCCTATTCTAACTGTCTAACTTCATAGCGTTTTGGGGGCGGTCACGAAACGTGGCGTCACGATATATGTAACGGCTACGAGCGTGACTAACCCAAGCTAGACCTCTCAATTTTTTAATGCCTAACTGACCGATAAGTTTGACACAAATACAAATGTTCGCATTTTAAAAGTCACTTCTTGCTAGTCACTAGTCTCCTTTGCAGCCATAATTAGGATCGTCACGCAACAGTTCACGGGGAGAAGCGTTACGTGACAGTCAAGTGGTTGCGAAGGAGACTAACATGTCATCAGCCTGTACATATCAAAACTCCGTACACAACAATCTCATGAAAAACTACTATACTCTATTACATTATCAACTTGGATTTGAGGTCTGATTTCCCACAAATGCCTTACGCAAATCCCTTGAATTAACAATAATATAGATTATTCCCAGCTCTTTTGAAATTCGCACCAAAATTGATTGCCTCCTCTATTTACTGATCTGACTCCACGGGTTTCAAACCTCAACACTTCGCAGGTTCTCTATCTTCACCGCGTTTGCTTACGCGAAGTTCTATCTTTTTATTTCCTTTGAAAATAGACTTTGAGA